CTATGTGTAATAAATAATACTAGGATTTAAGACTAATAGAATTTTCCACTGTGAAATTACGTTAGATCAGGCCAGGGGTCCATCCTTTTAGCTACTCTGGATCTCATTATAAGAAAACGAGTGGTTATGGGCCACACATACATTAACCTTTCGCGGTCGAATGTTGCGGTAATGACGAATTCGAGCTGTCATATCTAAAACCGATAGCTGCGAATAAATAATTTAATTATTCACATAATGAGAGATTGATGTGCGATTTTCTTTTTTTTCGGATATTTAAGATTTCGGTACATAATTGTTTATACTTTATTTAGGGGTTTATCGCAGTCGGTTTATGGCAGGTAAATTGCTGCTGCGCTAAATATAGATAGTAAATATAACTGTCGTAATTTAAACCTGAACGCGCAAACAGGTATAGGACGATGTAGTTTTAGTTTATTGCGATACCTTTAAAACAGCACCGAACTCAGGATTTTGGGAATTCTCAGATACGTCACGCCATGACTGAAGATGACTGTTACGTTGGAGGCGTGTGTTTCATCTAACGACCGCCTCCTTGCCGATCACAAAAAACAAAATCCACTAACTAGGAATCATCACTCCGCCAAGCACAGCTTTAAAGGGAGCTGTCTTGGGCCGAAGCTTCAAATATTCGCAGTCGTCCGGACGAACGACAGAGATTTCTCCGGGTGACTCCTGTAATATTGGCGAGAGGACTCTTGTATATTACGTGGTCACCTACATACAAGAAGTAGAGAGAACTTTCGTATATCAAATCGACATCCACAACATTGTTATCCTTGTATTGCTGTTAAGTTTGTTATACTTACAATTATATTGATTCTTTGCACAGTGCACCACGGATTATTTATTTAACATTTCCTTGTGCACCAACAAAAGATCCTTCGAGCCGGATCTTAAGAAACTAAACACAGCGTACTTCGATTAATTGTAACGAGTCGCAGAATACGCCACCATAATTAAATTTTGTATGAAAAGTGTTTCTGAAAGGTTTGAAAAATTTTCGTCTGCGAAGAGTTAATATTATGTTTAACACATTTATATTTAACATGTACCATAGCTTTGTTAATGGGCCTTTTAATCGCATTTTCATAAATTTTGTAAGCTTACGATATTTATTGAAGTACGTTAAAAAAAATTACATACACGAAAGCCACTATAGGGGCACACCGTTTAGAGAGATGGTATCCGCAGAAACCACTATAGTGGCGTACAGTCGCTACAAGGTTAAACCTTTTCAACATTCGTGTACATGAAAACCTGAACAATTGTATATTGATTCGAAGTTTTCATTCCTTGCAGAAAGTTTACTTCTAAGAAGTTTTCTCGTGGTTAAAGGTTTCTTTCCCTTCCACTGGCAAGAATTAATAGCTGTAATGGGAACTAGCGAAAAGGCGTATGCTTTCGCGTAAAATCAAATCAGGGCAGTGATTGAATTTGGAAACTGAAAGATTAAGTAGAGTCCTAAACGAAATTATTGACAGATAAAAAAGTGTAAGCATTTTCGCGCTCAAAAAATATCCGTTAACAAACGAGACGTTAAACGACACATGGTATAATTCATACAGTATCGTAAATTCTAATACTAATTTTTTTAAACATAAAATTCTGTCGGGCCTCCAGAAGATCTCTTCAGTGTCAAATAATGTTTACACTGTTTTAAAGTCAAATACGACGATAAGCTAAATATTTCACATTTTCGCTACTGTAAATCGGGTAATATGTTAGTAAAAATATCATGTAATATGTGCTTTGAATTCGTCTTGATGACTTCTACAGTATGATAAAAAGGATATGTGTCTCTATTTGTAAAACCTAAGGTAACTTCGATTTCGCCATAAAAACAAACTGTTATCGAAAATTTTTTTACTAGTATCTATTGCACACTCCATACTCTGTAACTTTAGAGATAACACCCTGTATCTCAAGGACATCAAAATCACTGATAACGTCTTTTTTCTAACTAATTAATCTAAGGCAGAGATTATAACTTTTATAACCAAAGCGAAAAAGCGTCAGGCTAATAATTACCTTGCCGACTAAACTATTCTTCCTTACGAATAGCAGTCATATATGATTGAAAATGTTTTTCATTGCCAATATCTATTATTGACGAAAGAAATTATTCATAACAATTACAGGCAAAGGAAATTTACTTTGGTTACTCATAACTATTATTGATAAGAGACATTGTATTTTAGTTTACTTATTACGTAGCATGGTGTGTAAGTAAACTGGACACTTTTGCGTTTGTCTGTACAGTGAACATTGAACAGTGACCAAGAAGTAGAATCGATTCTACTACGAGAAACGAAGATTTTAACATGGCGGTCGTAGATAAGTACAACGAATGGAAAGAGAAAAGAAAGACTGAGGACCGAAGCGTTCGGTAACATTAAGGGCTTGCAATGAGTTTGAGACCTTTAACTCGAAAATCAAACTTTTTTATCTTTTACTTTTGATGAATGAAACTTTGACCATCATGTTTGTTATATTTTTCTGATTAAAACGACACCAAACAAGGTAGAATTATGACCATAGTTACTTGTGTAACAAGCGATTGAAGTTTTAAATATAGAAAAGTACTGCGTATAGAAAAGAAAGAGACATTAGCATCTTCGCGTTCGACCATACATTTGCCACTCATGATGTGTCGAGAAAAATTTATTGTAGATGTGGTGAGGTTGGCGACGTTACAATTATGAAGAGATCCCGGATATTGCACTTATCCAATACTCACTCTAGTTGTTCTTTTCCTTGAATTCGTTGAAAAAGTTCCGTAACACATTTCGTTTTTAATTGAGAGTGAGAAATATTTGTGCAAAACATAAGGTGTTGACAGTGATGCTCAATGTCAACGTGTGTCCTTATGTTTCGCGCAAATATTTTTCACCCTCACTTAAAAACGAAGTGTGTTACGGTACTTTTTCAACAAATTTCACAAGATAAATGTTTGCTCTAACGCATTCTGCAATTAGATTTTCTCGTAGATGCTTAGTTTTTAAAATAAATTGAAATATATCCGCAAAAATCGATGCGTTTCGGGTGCTGTTTTGCCTTTCAACATTGTTTAAACATGTTTAAATGTTTATATTGTTATCGAAATTTACATCATTATATTCAGGATAATATTATAAAGATCGCGCATTATATTAAGATCGCGCATTAAACCTTCTGTAATAAAAAAGAAGTTAAATTTTATAGATCAGTATACATAATTGTTTTCTTAAGCGCATCGTTGTTTTGGTAAGGAGTTTGTATGAAGAACGCTTTCATTTGTGTTTAGCAAGCAGGAAAACATTTATAAAGGCTTTTATACACAGTAAAACTTTTCTCGAGATATATCCAAGAACAAGTGATGGTACGATATGAACATATTGTATTTACCAATAGTGAAAGAGACTCAAGCCCATCACTTGTTATTTATCGGAGAGGTTAATTCGTGTTGTTTCTATGTAAATAGATAAACAACAGATATAGTACAAAAATGATTGTTTCTTGAAAACAAGGTTAAATAGGACAAACATTTATAGAAACATTTTCCTTTTTATTAACTGACTTACGTAATTACATACATATGTATTCGTAATTAATGCTATTGAAAATATGCATGTTTCATTTAGAATGCCTCTTAGAATCTGCATATTATAGAAATTCTATTCTGGGTCAAAATGATGATCTGTCATTCGACATTAAGAATCTCTACAATCTTTACTTGCCTTCTTTGACTAGAAATGTCGTCTTTGTTTCTGTCATTTGACGAATGATAGTAAGTATACGTTTGCATTTGTAAATGCTCACATAAAAAGATATTAATAGTGAGTGATATTGTTCAATTGAAAATTCTTATACTATCTGACCTTGACAACTAGACTTTGATCTTAGATTACAAGATCAATCTCCTTTGTTTCATCTTTCGCATTATTTTAAAAGTAAATCATTTTATTCAGTTGAATCAGCAAGATGACACAAATATTAAATTGCATCATATGACATTGTGTTTATGTGTACCTACATTGTTTAATACCTCATTGTTTCCTGTATAACATCATCAAAATTTTAATTCAAATTTTCAAAAAGCAATAGAATACCAAATGACAAAATCGAAAATTGTCAGCACTTATTCCTCTTCAGATTCAATCAGGATTTAGACGTGACCAAAGTCGCTACAAATAGTGGAACAGTCTGTAAATGAGATTCTATCGACTATTCGACCGTTTGAAAGTGATCTGTGGGTTTCAAAGAGGAGAATTTGTACCTTAATGTTAGTAAATTTTCATCTAAAATTGAGATTTGGATAATACCATCTTGTAGAGGCTGATAAACAATTATCAAATAATATATTGTATATAATAGATTGTATATAAATCCGATTTTGCAAAAAGATGTATATGTGAAATCGTTTTTGATGATTACCGTGTAGTTTTTACAGTACTAAAGTAACTGTAATCATATAATTTTACAAAATATATTGTGTTTAGATATGATTTTTGGAGCAAATTACTCTTTTCTGTAAGAAATGTACGAAAGACTGATTGTGTTGAAACGCTGCGAATATATCGCCATTGTAATTTATGCATGTACCAATTAAAACATATAAATACATAAAATTTTAATCTAAATAACTTAATTGATACATCGAATGTATTCCAAATCATTTACGAATTAAAAACTTGATCCTTTAAAGAAAAGATGCAATCGTTGAAAGTAATATATTTTTTCTCCTTTCCATTTGCTGTAATGAACTTCCTTCTTTCTTAAATTATGGAAGTAATAATTTCACTCATCCGGGCCGTGCAAATTGAACTTTTGTTCGTTGCTAAATATTACTTTTCCCCATTATTCCTTTGAATGTTAATGGTCTTTAGCAAACTAAGCGTTTCTCTTTATGCTGAGACGTTAAAGGGGATCGGTGTTTCAATTTTAGACGTTTTAGACGTTTTAAACGCTTACAATCTGTTGAAACGCGTAATACGTACTTTTTATTTGTCACTGCGCCTGCTGCTTTTGCAATTTCCCCTGCATCCTTTTTAGAATTGGAAGCTTCGCCCGCAATGCCTCGTTTCTGTCGATCTGTTAGCACACGTGGACGTTCACTAGGTTTTCTTTTTCCCGAAATTCTCGGGATTTTGTAATAAAACGCGTAGGTACTACCGCACGACTTCGATTAACTAACTCCGCAACTTTTGAAATGGAATACCTCTAAGATCGAAATAATAAAATTCTATTTATTTTGTTTCGGTTTAGAACCTTTACTCCAGTCATTTTTAAACTAAAATTGACAATAATGCAATCACACTACCTACGGATATACTCGATAGAATTCTTCCGAATAACGCTTCAGCGACAACTAACGAGGACTTGAAAATGTACATGTGGCGTATCATTTTGTCTAACTAGAAGAAGCTTGTATTTATATTTCTTTCCGTAACATTCGTAAATCAAGTTCCAGGAAACTAATTTTTTTTGCGTGTTTACATACAATGTCAGGTACAATATACACGGTGTACTAAATATATATTATCTCACGTGTATATTTAGAACTAAACATACGCGTGGGGTGGCGTAATATTTTGTCCAGTATTGTAAACATGTGAGAGACTACGATTTTGACTTACAGTTTGACACAAAATTATCTAGACAAGAGGTAATACTATATGTCAATGAATTTTAAACAAATTGGAACTAATGTTATATATGTAAATTTTATTTATTACATACTCCCATAATACGCAAGTTATTTATTAAAAAATTCAAATTCATATTTCCATTTGTGTTTGAATAACCGATATTAATAGCGTAAAAATGTCGAAAAGATACAGCTACTCCCGCCAGAAACATTGTAGAATCGTTAGATTTAAATATTTTTGCAAAGACAATTAAGCAAAGACTAAAGAAAGTCGAATTAAAGTGCTGTAAAGCTAGATGTGAACCATATATTGGCAAAATCAGATTTTCTTCAATTAAAAAGAAACATCAAACATGAAGACAACGAAATGCAACGCACAAACAACAATTTATAACACCAACTATGAAATTTTTTGGAAGAGCATTGATGGTTTAGGGGTGTTTTTCATGATACGGGATTGATAGATCAGTTCAAATCGATGATATAATGAATGTAGACAAATACATTGATATATTAAATGAAGATTTGGAGCAAACCATTTTAAAAATAGGGACCGAGGAAAGATTTTTATACCAATAGGACAACGATTCGAAACATACTGCAAACAAATTCAATCAGCACAGAGTCCTGACTTGAACCCAATTTAGAATTGATGGGGTTTATTGGATGCGAGGCTTCACTGAATAAATGGTATAATAAAACACACTTTTTCGTAAGTAGATCGTAAGTTTAATAAATAATATTTCATGACGTTTGGAAGCCATAATTAAAGCAAAAAGCAACAATATAAAATATTAATTTTATTATATATTTAATTGATAACAAGTTTTACATCCACAAATAGTTGATTTTTCTATTTAATATCATTTACTTGTACAGAAATCTAAACATTATTTTCAATTTTTCACTAAATAGTCTATGTACTATGAGGGTGTATAATAAATGAAACTTAAAAATGTTCCACTAATACGAGTTTGTTTAAATTGCATTGATACCTCTTATCATCAACTGCCCACATAATTCTGTCCCCGACTGTATTTGCAGTATTGATATTCCTGACAATGATTGTTGGCATTGACGACTAAAACATGCTTTCATACTAAACATTACTAATATTTATTGTTCTTTTGTTTAATGGATGTCTGATGTTTCAACAGTAATAAAAAGTTCTTACACGTGTTTATTAAAGGGAAATTTTCTTTTGGTTTATTTTGTTATTTTTGAAGATATAACGGAAATAGGTTATTTTATAATTATTTGCACGCGAAATTCACGACGGCCGCGACCGAATTTTTGTGGCGTCGATAAAGGCCGTAAATCCTCGTGTCACCGCTATTCGCGTGATTCCTTACGAACGGTTAATTGAATATGGAATATTAATTCGAGTAACGAATGATTGAAGACAAGTGAAAGTGAACCTGAAAGTTGCAAGTTGTGAAACGTAAATATCTACGTATGAAGGTTAAGGCTTGTCTACCACGCGAGGTGTGTTTGCAAACTGATAACTTTTCTGAATCATTTGGTTGTACGTTAAACCCCTTTGCGGACGGGGCGATTTTGAGTAAACCATACCGTGGGGCCGAGCCGCTATCGCGATAGTAATTTAAAACTACCAGCGCATATTTCTGCTTAATCATTTGACTGCTGAGGAGCGCTATCGCGCTCCTCTTATGTTTTGCCAAAATTGTGAAGAGCGCGATAGCGCTTCTTTTTTGTTCGTTCAAAATTAATTTGCTCTATTTGTAAAAAGGGAATTCACGCACTTTGTATAAAAAAACTCGTGTAAAGGATCATAAAAAATTATTTGTGTTAATTTGAGTGAATTATAAGTGCTTTTTACTAATTTTATCCACAAAATGAATTAAAACAAATTTAAGTAAATAAATGGTATTTTTAAAATTTTTTGTTGTTGCAATACAATATAAATGAGTTTATTGTATGAAAATTGTTTTCCCTTTTTCTCATACACGCGCAATTAGTGCCGCAGTTTTGGCATATGTCTGAAACAATCCGTCAGTAGCCAAACAGTTAAACGCGATTTTCGTTCATAGCGCTCCAAGATGTCAAATTATAGACATATTTAGATATGTAATGCAGAGATTCTGCAGAAGATAAATAAGATATTAGTACTATCAGTTGTTTTCATCGAACGCATATATGTGTTTCTCGGCCATAGCAACGCACTACGTGGGACATATATATGAGTCTTTCGGCTCTATCAGTTGTTTTCACCGAACGCATACATGAGTACCTCGGCCAAATTGATGATTTCCGCCGAACACATATTTGCGGCGGTAGTCCGCAAAGCGGTTAAGATAGGAATAAGAGCGTTTGACGTCTTCTCTTCGTCGAGTCGAACTGACAAGGGAACATTATCATCCCGCATGCGCCGATTCCGATAAAATTTATATGAGACATGATTCTCAAAAAAATGTTTGCCACATATTGTGTTTACCGGTCAACATCTATGTTGAAGGGGTGAAAACACTCTTTAAAGTAGTTGAAAATATATTCTTTAAAATGTCTTTAAAACTACGAGATGCAGGAAAGAAATTTTTTTTTAATTGTTCACCTTGAAATAAAAAATTTAATTATACAAGAAATGTATTTTAAAAGGTATTTGTTTAAATAATATATTAAACATTGTAATTTCATATGAACCTTGTATTCATTTTTTCACAAATATTCATTTATCGTAGTGTAAATCTGCATGTGAAATCTATGGACTAAAACACAGAATACGTGTTCTTAGAATTTTTCGATTTTTAGTATTTAATTTTAATTGTTGAACACGTTATTTTCTTTTAGTTTTTGTGGAAGAAAGCTTTCGGAACTGTTTTGTAGATGGTACTGTGGGATTGGCGGGAACAAGCACAAGTGTATTTGTATGTTTATTGCAATGGACTGTAAGCGACTAGAATTAAACTGAACTATGTGTCTTAATCTATTCTACGCAATACTACGCTATTTCACGCTGATTTAGTCTGATCTACTACTCTATATTCTTAAACTACACTGTTCCACGCTAGTCCACTCTGTCTTGCTCCTCTCAACTACGCAACTACACTATCTACGCTAGTCCACTCCGACCTGCTCCTCTCAACTCGCAAAACTACTCTCTCTTAAAAAAGTCTTTACAATCATCTTAAATACTAATCTCGTCAACACGGGGCATGATTCTGCAGGCCATCTTCGGCCGCCTGCGAACCATCTCAGTTCAAGTGACCTGGTCGTAACGGTCCGAGTATACCTGATTTTATCATTATTTTCGAAAACAAAGTTTATTGTGTTGGTCAAGTCAAAACTAAATAGCCATGGGTTCCCACAAGAACTACAAGAACGTAGCACATTTTAATTCTAAAGACATTGCTCGTAGTTTCTTTACCTTATGTACAGCATTAAAAAAACACATTGAAATTCAGGAGAATTCTTCAAATGGATAGAAATAGTGTACTCATCCTACATCCCCCCACACACAAACTTCAATTTTAGACTTTCAGGAATACATTTAAACTTTTCTGTCCACAAGCACTTATATAACCTACAGGAACTATAAACAAACTTTGAAGCACCAGAAAGCATCCTTAGAAGCTAATGGACAATAAATATGTTGCCTCGACACCATGTCCTCACATATTAAACTATCTTCTTTAACACTTTGACTGCCACATCACCCGAATTCGGATGACAGAGTTTCTTACAGCAACTTAAAAATTAATTTTCTTGGTGACATATCGGATGAATCGAATTCTATTAGATGTATTAAATACAGAAAGGGCAGTAGAGCAATCGTTACGAAGAATCTCGAGACCTTTTAGTTTCTCCTTTATTAAGAAAACTGTTTCAATTATATAGGAGTTATGGTAAGTTTTTATTTGACAGTCAACGTGTTAACCTGTTAACTGTGGAATTTAGTTTGAAAAATCTCTTGTTTTGTGCGAAATAAAATAAAAAAACGAAGTATGCACTCGTCAGACGCAGGACAAATGCACTTAGGGTATATTTTAATGAAAACCCAAAGCGAAGCAAAGAAGAATTACACGTTCATCTGGAAAAAATAAAGAATTCATCGTTGACAGAATTAGTATCATTTCAAGCTTTAAGATGACGTGTATACTCGCCAAACGCAGCTAACTAGTTAAAAAGAGAAAGGTGGTTTATCATCAACAGTATATAATAGATTACATTTCCCGGACAAGCAAGCGTTGGTTTAAACGATATAATAGTAAACCGATATTGATATCGAGGTTTCATCGAATAAGGTTGGAGACGTTTCCCCATCTGAAAGGTGATTCTCCCTGTCTTCTTCCGTGATTTCCCACTATCTGGGATCTTTCCGGTTTCCCATTTTCTTCTCAACCACACCCTCATTGTTTTTCCCTACCCGACAACGGTAAAATTTATTCCGAGCGTAGGAGGGTCGTAAGAGTTCTCCGCTTGGACGAGAACGTATTAGTGCGACACAGGCCTTTTGTCGCTACGATACCGAACACCTAAATATGAACGGAAGAGCCCACCACTAGTCTCAAGCTTTCCATTCAAGCTCTCACACAACCCTCCACCTTTTATTCTCCCCCTTTCACACCGAATTTTATACACAACCCCTCGGCTATTTCGCAAGTTTGATTCAATACATTATCTGGAACGCCTCTTGTAAACCGTCCTTTATCTTCTTGGTAAGATTGATGTCAGAATTTGAAGATATTGCCTGTATATCGAGTTCGACAATATTTCTATACGAACAGATTATC